TTTTAATTTCCTAAGACTCGTCACTTTAGACAACCATAGAATAAATGGTAGCCACTTCTCTACTTTTTCATATATTTAGATTTCCTGTAGAATGAGATTGTATAGACATGAATTGTTTTTTTTGTATTGCCTTCTCATGGTATGGGATATGCGTTAGTCTTCCTTTTCAGCGTTAATTAATATGCATTAGCATAGAGTTGTTATGGTAATCGCATTCAGTTTAGGTTTAAACAATCCCTTAAAAGTAAATGAGCCATAGTTTTCTTCTCTTCTCTTCTCTTCTCTTTTGAGGGGTAAATATGCCTTAGGCTTTTTTTTTTTTTTTTTTTTTTGGCGGGAAATAAATATGCCACACTTGTGCCAAGATATCTAGATAACGCCAAGTTTTTGCTGCATGTATTGTGTAGGATTGGAAAGAAATCCATTAATTTAATGTCGGATAAGATTATATTGGATTAGAATAAATTCAGCATTATTAAGTTTTAAGTACTACGAGATTAGAAATTGGACTAATACATTTGACCTTTTTTTTTTGTTGAAACACTAGTCACCAAATATTATTAGTTTTGACGTTGAAATAATACATCTCATATAGAGAGGAATTAAATGATAAAAAACGGACACGAAAATTCGTGTGAACTTTTAACACTCGAATTCTTTGACTAAAAATTTGGTGGTTCTATTAACACCATTTTTTAACTGCACACCCTACATAATTTTCAAATGGCTAAATTTTCTTTTTACACACATTTATTATTTCAAAATTACCCTAATATTAAGAATGGTTTTATTTACACCCCTCTCTTCTCCCCATACCCACCCTTTTACTCTCCACACTACCCTTCTATCTTTTGTTTATATCTCTTTATTTTTTTTTATTTACTGTCTTTTGTGTTTTTTTAATAGTGAGCAACTTTTAAAAACTAAAAGCCAAAGGTGAACAATGATATTTTAATTTTTGTCACCTGAGAAGTAGTAAATTTATTTGTGTAATCTACTTGGTAATCTGAAGAAATATTATTGCATTGAATAGAAACTTCATCCTGTAAAAACGTCCGACTACAAAGCAAATAAAAAAAAACAAATTAAACAATTCACAAAAAAAAAAAATGATAAATAAAAGATTAAATGAAAAAAATTATAAAACAAAAGGTGAGTTGCATTTTGCTGAGCCCTCAGATTGCATAGTGGACAAAGTGCAACAAGATATATATATATATATATATATATATATATATATATATAACCATATGCACAAGCGTTTGAGTAGAAAATCCATGACCACAAGCAACATCTTAAAAGAAGAGAGAGAGTAGAGTAAAGAGAAATCATAATCTCACATTACAAAAAATAAAAAAAATAAAATGATTAGCTTAAAAAATTAATTAGTAAACAAATATAAACACAAAACGAAAAACAATAGCAAATAAAATTTAACATACCTTCATGCAATTTTTTATTATTGTGATTGAAAGGCAAAAATTAGGGTTTTGTTATAAAATTTTAAAATAATTAGTTTCTCTTTTATAATAAAGTTAATTAAATAATTAAATTTGTTGCCTTTTTTTGTCATTTCATTTGAGGGTGTTTTTGTAATTAGAAATTTTTAATCTAAAGAGGGTGTGGAGAGTAAAATGCAGGGTGCATATAGAACCAACTATAAGAACTTAAGATCAAGTGATCAGCGAAGAAAAGGTCATTTTTCACTAATATTAATTCCTAAAATTCGAATTAAAAGTCTTAAACTTAAATCTTAATACTAAAAGCTGCAAAAGAAATAGCTCTTATGCATAAACAGGCTGTAAATTTCGTTATATATTGTAACTGATTGCTTGCATCTGAGCCCTTTATCAACGTAAAAATTTACACTGCAGGTCTCGAGACAATATCAACAGTGACGATGGCACAGCCGTGTCACCAACCGCTGATCACACAATCTCGTGATCACAGTTTCATAAAGTGTTATATATTGTGTGTATATATAATTAGAGTAGATTGCAGAAACTACTTAAGTTTCATTTATATGTTTCCGTAGCAAAAGTGAAGTAATTTTCACGTCAGACTCAGACAAACACTACCTAGGAAATCTCCTAAGTGCAAATTTTAGCAGGCTAACTAAATAGTTCCTAGCCTACTAAAGTGTAATTTTCACGTCAACATTTTTTTTTTTTTTTTTGGGGTAATGGTCACTTCAAAAGCAGAAAAATGAAAAAAAAAATGAAGCGCGTGAAATCAACGCTCCTTTCCTTCATATCTCTTTCTGAAGAAAAGCAGTATCTCAATTTTGATACTCTGGGAAATTTACCTTTGGAATCCACGTCTTACTTGTAGCTTTTTTTATTTTATTTTATTTTTAAATCAAGGGCTCATTTTATACGTTTAATTAATAATTTTTTATTTTAATATTTAAAATTTAATTTTTTTATAAAATAATACTGCATCAAAATTAGAATTATGAATTTAAACGCTTAAAATAAACAGACTATAAGATTAAAAAGTTAGAATTCTAAACTTAAGTGTAAATTGACTAATTTACCGCTGAATCAAAGATGCAATCACATTTCACTTGTAGCTTTTAAGTTGATGCATGAATTAAAAGGTGAAAATTTAGTCACGGAAAAAAATCTATCAGTAAACACATATCCAATAATCCGAACTATTAATTTATTATATCAAATTCTATTAAATTTTGATTCGTTTATTAATTTAGTATAACTCTATTTTACGTGACAATGAAATCTGTGCATCACAGAATGATTTTTTTAGAGACTTTTTTTGGTATTCTCTATTTTTTAGGAATAACGGTGTTTCCTATTTATTAGTCATCGAATTTGTATTAAATCTGGTCAAAAGTTAAATCAAATTAAAAAAAAATATTATAGATCCGACAACTAATAAACAGAGAACACCAATATTCTTAAAATAAAAGAGAACACTAGAGAAATTCTCTATCTTTTATACCCTAAAACAAATTCCTCCTAAAAAGAATCTAAGAAAAAGATTTTCCATCCATTTTACAAACCCCAGTAAATTTATAAAGGGAAAATTTTATTTTGGTACCATGTGTTATATCGAAATATAAGTTTGAGTTATATTGAAATATAAGTTTGATACCCTCTATTTTTAATAATTTCATGCTGATATCTAGACTTTTTAGAAAATCTTCTTTTGGTACCTCATGACAATTTTCTGGGCCACAAAAAAATAAAATTACCCTTATTATTAAATATTAAAAAAGCTTTTAAAAAATCATAGACCTGTAAATAAATACCTAAAATTCATTCTACCCTAAATATAAAGTAAAAATCTTGATTGTAAGTTTAAGATTTTTTAAAAAGCTTTTTTTATATATTTACTAATAAGGGTAATTTTATCTTTTTATGTCCCAAAAAAACTACCCTGAGGTATTACATAAAATTTTTTTAAAAGATCGAGATATCGATATAAAACTATTAAAATTAAGAATATCAAACTCATATTTTAATATAACACAAAGTATTAAAATGAAATTTCTCCGTTTATAATTACAATTTACACAACACACACAAAGAAGAAGCTCAATGAGATTTGGGCTTAGTTTGGTATTGCTTTTCCCTCCCAAAATCAACTTCTGCTTGTAGCAGAAGCTGATTTTAGTACTTGGTAAATTTTCTCAAAAGTGCTTTTTGAAGAATTTTTCAAGGATCTATAACCAAAATCAGAAGCAGCCTAAAGACAACTTTAGCTTTTAGATTGTACGGGGCTCAGCATAGTATAATTAATGAAACTTTCATAATACCCATAATACTCCTAATGAAATTTAAAAGTTACAATCTTCCCAATCTAAAATTCAGACTCGTAATATAATATAATAGTATTATTGTAACAAATAATATCATAATTATATTAATAACTCTAATATTATTATTTTATCATATAATATGATATTATAATAATATTATAATTATAATATAATTATAACATGATATAATAATAATAATAATATGATATTGTAATTATTATTTTATAATATATTATATATTGTATTGTATTGATATAATTATATTTATTATATTAATAATATTACAATAATATTATTACATTATATTATATTGATATAATTATATTCATAATAATAATAATAATATAATAATTAATATAATTAAATATTAATATAATCTTATAATTCTAATATTATTATATATTATA